CAAGCGGATTAAGGCGCCCTGTAGTTACCAGTTGCGTTGCTTCTGGGAGTATGGGTTCGAGTCACTTCTGGGGTGTGAGTTTTCATTCGCATATAGTCCTGGGGACCATTCAGGCTTGTTCGCATTTGTGTTCCTCACGTGTGCCCCAAAGAATGAGGTGATTTGGTGAAATGCTATGCCCAAGATTACCATCCGAGTTGCCGTCGGGGAAGTGGCTCAAATAGCCTCGGCTATCACTTCCTTTTGACGGCCGTGATGGTCAAGCGGATTAAGGCGCCCTGTAGTTACCAGTTGCGTTGCTTCTGGGAGTATGGGTTCGAGTCACTTCTGGGGTGTGAGTTTTCATTCGCATATAGTCCTGGGGACTTGATGAAATTAACGTCTAAATGACCCCTCACTTGCTCTAGTGCTCTTGGGAGGTGGTGATCTTTGTGGTATTTAAATACTCCGAAATTACCATCTCTTTTAAGGGTCTGAGCAGGTGGTGGAGAGGATGCGGAAAATCCACAGAGAAATATGAAATGAGGTGAACGTTTCGGCTTTGTTAAAGCCAAAACATTAACTCATTGGTGGTACCTTATGCGAGTGGACTTGAAAAATTGTCTCTGATTTTTAAGAAACTTAATATAAATTTGGTGTTCACTAATAGTATGATCAAATCCAATTTAATAAAAAACTCCCCTGATACAGCAGGTTGTGTGTATTCGATTCCCTGCAATGATTGTGATTCTGTGTACCTTGGACAAACAGGAAAGTCCTTACAATTGCGGTTGTCACAACATGCTTATAGTATTAGAACTGCCCAAACGTCTAATGCATTGTATCTACATACGAGTTTATGCGATCACAATATTAATTGGAATGGGGCATAAAGCATTACCAATTGTGGGGATTTCGTGGAACGGAATTTGATTGAGTCTGCTCTAATCAGTCAGTGTCCAAATCTTCTTAATGTTAGTACTGGAATGTACAAACTTGATCCATTTTTAAGTTATAATATTGCACAACAGTTTAAGAAACAACTCTGATAGAGAGGCTTACAATGTCTCATTATAATTGTATATTCATATATTGTGTGTTCCTGAGGCTTTTCTTTAATCTTTCATCCTTATTCTCTGACCGCTTAATCCTCTTTGACCATTCTAAGCTAAGCTATACCTGTTTTTGGTTAATTACACTGACCAACCCTAGGGATGGGTTGGTCAGGTGTCGGCCTATATATCCTCCCCCTTCTCCCTTCTCCTTAGTCAGTCTGGTGTTGACAAAGGCTTTAACAAAGCCGAAACGTTCACCTCATTTCATATTTCTCTGTGGATTTTCCGCATAAAATGATCAGTGTTTTGTGATCGTCAATTGCATATATATATATATATATATATATATATATATATATATATATATATATATATATATATATATATATATATATATATATATATATATATATATATATATATATATATATATATATATATAAACATATATATTATATGTATATTGTGACGATAATCTCTTTCAAGAGATTGAGCCTGCTCTGCTCTACATTTAGTTACATATATTATACAAGAATAAGATGTTTCCTTCAAGATACGTCTCCCAGTAGCACAAAACGTTTTGACCAGGAGGCAAAATGTACCCAAGACTCACTCCCTACTCCACTCCCTCCACGCCGTCTCGTGATCAACCAGCCAACTACCCTTCCCAGCCTGCCTGCTCCTGATTGGTGACTCGCCGACTGCACACCTGCACATTGCACCTCAGCGCCCTCTACCTGAGTCGATGTCTGGGCTTGATCCAGCCATTGAAGTCAGAATATCCTTGTGTTCTCAAGCCGTGAACAACTAACTGATATATGCTGTATCAGGTGGATGTCTCGCAGCTAGCGCCATATTCTCAGCACCTGATTATTTTCACCTTTAACTTTATATTATTGTAGAGTAACTTCATCCCTATTATTCATTTATGTTATATGTTTTTGACTTGTTCGTTTGCACTGTACATTGCAACGTGGCTGAAGTATGTTGACCAGACCACACACTAGAAGTTGAAGGGACGACGACGTTTCGGTCCGTCCTGGACCATTCTCAAGTCGATTGTGATGAGGACAGGTAGGGACAGGCAATAAATAGGCAAGAGAGAGCTGAGGAGGAAAGTAAGGTGTAGGGGATAGTAGTAATAATGAGAACTGCAGAAGGCCTATTGGCCCATACGAGGCAGCTCCTATTATAACCACCGAAGGAGATAGTAATAGGAATAAGAAGAGGATAGCAAGGGAGCGTAGGAGAAGACAATGAACAGAAAAAGGGAGAAGAGAGAAAGAAAAGGAAAGAGAAAGAAAGATAAATGGAAGGGGTAAGCTTATGTTAAGTCACGTTTGTTAGAAAGATTAGAGCATTTGAGTATATACTGTGAAAGGGAAGAGTCCACAGCAACAAAGCCAGGACTCAAGTTCATGTTGGGTACATTGTGTATAAGAGCCGATTCTACAAGACGGCGTCTGTGTAGAGTAGAGGCAGGAAAGATTATTTTGGAGGAAGACCAATCAATGGGATGATTAGAATCCCTCACATGGCAGAAGAGAGCATTGTTAGTGTCTGCAGACTTAACACTTCTCTTGTGTTCTTTAAGTCTGTCATTCAGTGTACGGCCAGTTTCGCCAAAGTATTGGAGAGGACAAGATGAACAGGAAATAGAGTAGACACCAGCAGCATTAGAAGCAGGAGGAGCAGTGTGAACTAGATTGCTACGAAGTGTGTTAGTTTGTCGAAAGGCGAGTTTAATGTCAAGAGGACGAAAGGTATTGGTAAAAGTTTTGAGTTCAGATATGAAGGGAAGGCATAGTACAGTGCTACTAGTGTTGGAAGCAGGTTTAGGATGAAAGAAATTTCGTTTAGCTTGAGAGTAGGCACAGTTGATGAAATGCAAAGGATAACCAAGGCGAGAGAATGATTTGTAGATAAAGGCAATTTCAGAATCAAGAAACTGAGGGTCGCTGATGCGTAGAGCGCGGAGGAAGAGAGAGACGAGGACACTTTTCTTAACAGAAGGAGGATGGTAGGAAAAGAAGTGAATGTACATGCCACTATGCATGGGTTTACGGTAGACAGAGAAAGAGAACCCAGACACAGAGCTGTGAACATGAACATCAAGAAAAGGAAGGAGGGAATTAGATTCCCACTCAACTTTGAAATGGGCGAGGAAAGGCTGGAAAAGATTAAGGTCATGAGGCCATAAAGCAAAAATGTCATCAACATAGCGAAGCCAGAGAGAGGGACGAGTATCAATAGAAGGAAGAAGAACAGTTTCGAAGTATTCCATGTAGAAATTAGCAAGAACAGGGGAGAGAGGGGAACCGGAAGTTTTGAGGCGATCCAAAGGGTTAGAAGTCAGGGGAGCATAAGTGCGAGAGTCAGAGAGCAAGACATCTGCTTTTCGGAGGTAGTCCTCACGGTCAAGGACAACCACCGAATTGCCTTTGTCGGAAGGAAGAATAAGAATAGAATTGTTAGATTTCAGGGAGGCAAGGGCAAGCTGGAAGCGACGAGGAAGGTGGTTATTTTTAGAAAACAAGCTGTCAAGAACGGGGATAAGGGCCCCTCTAAAGGCAGACAGGTCCGAAAGAGTACTAGAGTTACAATTGACAAACCTGTCAAAGGAACTAATGAGATCAATGTCACAGCGTGGGCCAGGGGAAGTTGCAAAAGACAGACCAAGACCAAGAAGTTCTTGCTGGTGCTTAGAAAAAGAGTAGGACGAAAGGTTGGTAACACAGTCAGAGAGAGAGTATTTGGCCCAAGGACTGTTGGAGATCAGGCGTTGAAGTTTGTTGTGTAGTGTGGAGGAGTGGTGGGAAGGTGTGTGTGTGTGTGTGTGTACTTACCTAGTTGTACTTACCTAGTTGTGCTTGGGGGGGGGAGGGGGTGTAGGGGATTGGCTCTTTGGTCCTGCCTCTCAACTGTCAGTCAACTAATGTACAGGTTCCTTAGCCTACTGGGCTCTATCATATCTACACTTGAAGCTGTGTAAGGAGTCAGCCTCCAACACATCACTTCCTAATGCATTCCATTTGTCTATAAGTCTGACACTGAAAAAATTCTTTCAAACGTTTCTATGGCTCATTTGGCACTCAGTTTCCATCTGTGTCCTCTAGTGCTTGTGCCCTTTGTGTTAAATAGTCTGTCTTAATCTATCCAATAAATTCCTCTGTGTGTAAGCTACTAAGAAGTTACCACATTGTTACATTACTGAGAACATATAACCATGAAGGAAATTAAATAATCACTTAAGTGGTATTGAGTAAATGAGCACATCCTCAGAAGTACAAAGAATGCAATTCAGCTTGTGATACACAGGCAGAAACAAGGAACGTAACATATGAGGTGAAATAATAATGTCTTTAGAATACTCTAGAAGAGGTTCATGAAATGGGACATTGAGAACTTCTGATCAGAAACTACATTTCCATCTTTTCTATATAGATTTTGTGTAGCTACAGGCATTATATCGTCTTCTCTCTACCAATGACCCAATCTTTTAAAAAGCAAAGGCTCAGTCTTCTCTGTAACACTGGCCCAGTCTTCTCTACAACAGTGCCTCAAACTTCTCTATACAAATCGGTTCTCTCCCAGTTTTCTTATGTTCCTAGTAATACTTTCAGTCCAAGTGTCTGATGCTATATTTTACAGTCCTCTTTCCACTCTCGCTGTGCCTTCTACATAGCTTTCTAAAGCAATTTCTTACCTCAACCATTATTTTATTGCTATGGAATATCTAATCCTACTATCTACAAATTAAATATGATTTAACAAAAATTCATGTAGATTAGTGATATAATTTTGAGTTTAGTTATACATTTTTATATATTTTCAAAAGAAAAATATCTGAGAGAAATTTCTACGTGTTCCTTGAATATTGAAGATGAAGCTCTCTCACTTCGTCATATTTTTGGCTTTGTCATAATAATGGTAACAAATTTAACTGTCAATAATAACACACTCAAGGTCCATCGCTAAAAATGGCGAGTCGAGCGTGGTTGTGGACGCAGAAGCGTTCTTCTCCAGCGACCATCAACCACCAACATACATGTCACACAGCCTAGGTGAAGCCACTTCCCAGCCTTCACCCAGGAAACATTCACAACATCAGTCAACCGAGAATCATCCATATCGACCCCAAGCAGCACAGGAGGAGCTCGCACGCGACAACCTCCTCCAGGGGCTGTGGGGGGATTCAAGAACCACCTGTCGGGGTCTTATTCTCGACCTCACCTCCAGCAGCAACACCACTCACCTCGTACTCAGGTACTCTACTTTGGATATATTTGTAAAACTTGAACCTTTATTTTAACCATATATATGACATCTTGTCCACGTCACCAGGCAGAGAAGTTAGCGTTCTCTCTCTCTCTCTCTTTTTTTTGGGAGATATATACAAGAGTTGTTACATTCTTGTACAGCCACTAGTACGCGTAGCATTTCGGGCAGGTCCCCGCCGCAAAGAATCGTTTTACAACCAAGTATTCATTTTACTGTTGAGATAAACAGAGGCTACAGTTAAGGATTTGCGCCCAGTAAATCCTCCCCGGCCAGGATACGAACCCATGACAAAGCGCTCGCGGAACGCCAGGCGAGTGTCTTACCACTACACCATGGAGATTATCTTTGTGTTTATTATCTTTATTATCTTTGCCTATCGAGTGCTCTTTTGTGGTCAAATCTACTTCGATTAAATATTTAATGTGGTAGAAGGGCAGCTTCCTAATTTAATGTTAAAGGATATATGATTATTTCTTGCCCGACATTTTATTTTCCGAAAGAAAAGTAATGAATAGTTCCTTACATTGACTTAAGAGCCTTTCAAGCCGTCACCACAATCATCTTTGTCTAAAAACGGAAAACGAAAATATAAAAACCTACTAATTTTGTCCGTGGTAGGCGCACGTTTGGTTCCGAGATCAACAATAATAATGATGTTACAATGACAAGGGGAAGGTGTGGTGAGGTCTTCCACTGAACGAAATCATGTATGTGTTGTAGATGTACACTGCTGGATTCCACGAGTGTAAAGATATGCAGATAAAATGTCACAATAATGTGGCTGAAAAATGTTGACTAAACGTAACACTAGAAATTAAAGAGACGACGATGTCCTCGACCGTTATCAAATCGATTGTGACCGGACCGAAACGTCGTCGTCTCTTCAATTTCTAGTGTGTGGTTTGGTCAACAGTGTGAAGATATATTCTGCATTTGGGTTCTGGGTGATCTCTGAGGCCCTGAGAGGGTCATCCAGAGAAGTGAGAACAATACAGTGACGAAGATTATGTGCAGTAAATATGTGGCCCCCTGGTTTTTCACTAGGTCAGTTCCTGGACATAAGCTGTTGCCTAAATTGCAGACAATGCAAAGAAAATGTAAACAAAGCTTATATAATTTATAATCAATTTATCTAATGTCTAATATATAATACACATTACAAGAGTTAAAGAAAAAGTTATCAGATAGTAATCAGCTATCTAATAAATACTAAACTTTATATTAAACTTAAGAAATATTGAATTGGTGCATATGAACCTTAAGGGGGCCGGGACCCCCAAAATATTAGTCCAAATATAAAAAAAATTGAACAAACATCACGTTATTTGGCATCAGCATCGAGAAAGTTACATCACAATATATCATGAAATGGATGTTATACGAATTTTAAAAGAAGGCAACCAGTCCTGATGATAATAAAAACACCTAGTTAGTGGAACTCATGGATAATGCACTGCTATACAGATGCAAGCACCTGTCCGACCCATAAGGATGAGTAGTAGGGAGTGTCCACATAGTGGGTATGCAGCTGGTGCCTTCTGGGATTGTTGATTGCCACCTGGAGGGCAACATTTCACAAAAATAATAATGAGTAAGTATGTTGCTGTATTTTATTATATATCATATAAATACATTGTCAAATGCCAATATTTCTTGGGTTCATCAATAGTTTTTTGGGGGGAGGATTCATTTGTTTTAATTTATTTTATTTTATTTCTCTTGTTTCTCATCTGATTTTGTTGTGGATTCTACATCTTGGAGAATGCATACCCGTCACACTAAGTATATTATCTTGAGATGATTTCGGGGCTTTAGTGTCCCCGCGGCCCGGTCCTCGACCAGGCCTCCACCCCCAGGAAGCAGCCCGTGACAGCTGACTAACACCCAGGTACCTATTTACTGCTAGGTAACAGGGGCATAGGATGAAAGAAACTCTGCCCATTCTTTCTCTCCGGCGCCCGGGATCAAACCCGGGACCACAGGATCACGAGTCCAGTGTGCTGTCCGCTCGACCGACCGGCTCCATTCTATTAAGTTGAACGAAATTGGTCAACATGTAAATCAGCCATATGTGGCAGAACTTGTGATTTTTTATTTCAGGGGGCTGAATTATTCTCATATTTCAAACTCAATTTTCTTTGTCTCTTATTGTTGTTTTTGCTGAATGGGGACCAGATGAGGGCTTTATCACTTATATAAAGTATACTTATATATCCCCTAACCCATTAACCCATATCCGTATATTTTGTTTGTTTTGAGGAGGTATATTTTACTGACTTCATTTCAACACATATTTACCTACAACTCTCACTTATTCGAGTACAAATGTAAAGCAATATTTATTAAGACTTACAAGATATGTTATAAATTCGAACTCCTATATTCATTGTCGAGAATTTTAAATTAATTTTTCTGTATGAACAGATTTTCATCTTTGAAACTACATTCAAAATTCTGTTTCTGAGCGATTTTCACGATTTTTACATATTCTGTGCAAAGTTCTTAGTTCTAGGGTTTCATTCATTTCGTTTATTCATAAACCCATAACTTTGATAGTTAAATAAATTTTTACCTCTAAAAATTTGCACATATTTTGAAAGCCACATTCACTTTTTATTTTTACAATAAGCTATACTCTTAAACATTATTTTATTTGTTTGATATTTTAAAATAATGAAAATGAACATTATATGCCATTCTGGTCCCATAATGAAGAAAATAAAAAATTATTTGTTTAGTTAATTTGAATTTGTGAAATTTTCACTTTTTAAAACAATTTTTTTCATGTTCATGTTATGAGTGATCCATCGTGAAACAAATTTAGAAGTGTTTGAAGAAGTGGTCCTGGCCCCTTAAGTAGTTTGAATTAGTTTTACATCCAGGTGAATTAATATGACTTATAATAATAGCCTGTGATTGATGTAAAGATTTTTTTTTCAATATATATGACTAATTTAAAATAACTTAAGCAGTTTAGATAATCAAATGTAAAACAATGCTCGTTGGGTTAGCTGTAGTTCTGTCCTTAAACGATATGTTGAGAATCTGGATGAAAATCGTCTGTTTTTGAGAGATTAAAGAAAATTGGGTTAAGATTATCTGACGTTGTGTGGATTTATAAATAGATGTTTCTCAAATGTTGCTCACATTTGAACGCACAATTACAAGGATCTTCAAAATTTGTTATGCATTTATGTTAACATAAAACCCTTTCAAATCAAACTTTTTTTTTAAACGTGAGGCAGACAATGGCACTATTAAATATTTCCTAGACAAAAAAAAGACAGATTTGGAAATTCACGAGAAAACAGATATTCAAAAATTTGAAATGTAATTTTCGAGCATCATCAATTCAATTGCTGATAAATTTTCTTTCATATACTAAATTCAGGTGATTTGAAGGAACTGCAAAATTATTAAAGTGTGAAGACAGAGTAACATTAAAAAAATTGAATTCGGGAATGTTGCAGTAGATTCATTTGTTTAAACATTAACACATGTTTAAGAATGCTTTCAAGCTTTTTGTTCTTATCATCCATAAAAAATGAGAACTATAATAAGAATTATAATCTCAGACTCAAAATTCCGATGTGCATGGGAGATAATTTGTTTAGAATATTGTTGCCAATTTCGGCTGTATCTCTCAAAAATGTTTGTCATCTCTGGTCTAGAGACTCTAGACGTATCAACAAGCAGACAGAGGCATATTGACTTGCCATTGCAACTGTACACCAATATATGTTGTGGATTTTTGTCCCTAAATGTGGCATCTAGTAGGAGCTTCAAGAAGCAACAGTCCTTGAAGCTTCTCTGCCACCCTGCCTTAATATAACTGTTTATTCAGTGGTTGTGAGAGTACATAACATTGGTGTTGTTACATTCTTGCAGTCACTAACATACATAGCATTTCAGGCAGGTCCTCAATCTAACAGATAAAAGTACTCGTTATTAAAAAGTACATTGAAGTAGAATTTGACTTCAGCATAATAACTACTATGAAAATTTATTGTATCCATTATACTGGTGATGTTGCACGTCTTAAGTACTACAATTAGGTGAGATGGTACCATAAGATACAGCGAGAGTTTAAAGCACTACTAAATAATGTTCTTGGTTATGTTTGACAATTAAAAGGTTGGTGGAGATGTCTGGACTGTGGCGGCTGCCGGAGACGGTGGTGGTAGCCATAGGTGGGAGGGCGGGAGCCAGGGCCGTGCTCCTCCACCACAGTCTCCGTAACACTGTCCACGCCCTCTACCTGGCCCTCGACCACGCCCTCTACCTGGCCCTCGACCACGCCCTCTACCTGGCCCTCAACTACTCCTCCCGCCACCTGACACTCAACTACGCCTCCCTCCACCTGGCCCTAAACCTCCAAGATGCCTCACTCTACACTGTACCACACATTGACTCACGCTTTGGGGAGTACATCCCGCCGGAAGGTCAGTAAATGAATGCTTTACTTTTTGTTTTTGTATAACAGCTCAGGGAGCCTAACTCTCCTCTTTCCCCTGCTTCCCTCTGGCCTCCTCCATCTATTCTCCCCTCCTACATCGTCCTTCCTCTTCCTATTTTCCTCTCCGCTTCTTCCCTTCTTTTCCTTCCCTCTTTTCTAACCTTTTCCTTCCGACCTCTCTGTCAGACGACGTGAACAAATAATGTTATTCTCCCTTCGTTGTGTTCCCAGAGGATTCATGTTACAAGCGGCTAGGTCATAAACTTGGACTCACAGCCTTCTCCTTGTTACTGAGTGTTTAACAAGAGTTAACAGAGATAAATGTATTCCTAAGTTGCAGTTTCCATTGTCCTTAGATGCCATGACATATACAGAGCCCAGGTCCTGTAGGCTGTGTGGGAACACCACACCTCAGGAGGCCTGGTCGGCGCTGACTGGCCAAGTGGGCTAGCCACACTAGTCATACTCACGGGGGAAGGCCTCGCTGTGTTTGATTTGGCCGAGAGGGTCCACCCAGAGCCTATGCCTAGTTGCTCATTAGTTTATGGTGCCAAGGGTAGGCCTAGCTTCAGTTTGACTAGTTTTTGGGGGTCTAGGGGGCGGAGCTACCGGAGACATGGATGCCTTAACGGGAGCGTAGCCAGGAGATCACCGTGGGAGATGCATTGACTGTGAGTCTTGGGAGTGCCACAATGTGTGGGGTCGGTGAACGACACATGTAGGCGGCCAATCCATCTGTCCAGGACTGTGGAGGAGTTAAGGTAAATGTCTGGTCTGAGATTTGCTTACTTTGTAGATCATAACACCTTGCCTCGTAAGAATAGTGTTTTAGAGTGAGGATTTAAAATGTTGTTTAAATATATTGTCATAGACTTTAACTTTGTTTTTCAGTTCATTTCCTCAGTCCTGATATCAAACCTATATTCCTTGTGTTGGCTTGTTTTTATCTCGAATGATGGAGTTATTAACCCTTATAATTAGAACAAGAAGTCATTAGAATCCACTGAGAAATAGCAATAATAATTATCAAAATTAAGGCTTTGTTCTGGACTGTAAGAGTCTGACTAGACTTAGAGTCCGGAAAATTATTAGCTTAATTAATTAATTGAGTAGTGGTGACAGCAAATAACTTGTTGACACCAATACCGGCCACCCCCCTGCCACCAGCTGCTAACTATAACGTGTTAGCTTAATTAATTAATTAATTGAGGAGTGGTACAGCAATTAACATCAATCAGTGACCTTATAATTATCCTTGATTAAATTATGTACGGTTGGTTAAGGCTCACATTCTCATTCAATCAGGCTATGGGATCGACTGCAAGGGTCGATGGGGATCAGTTTCATGTGTAAATACAAATTCCTGTTAATGATAATTATTAAGGGGAATGATTGGTGTAGCTAATGTCGACTTTACGGTAATTGGTCAGCATTGTTTGACATTTACTCACATTACATTTGAATTTAAATTTAATTATTTATTTATTTTATTTTAATAAATTATGTGTGTATAATTTTACTATTAAATTATTTATTTAGCGAGTGGACTGAATAAGGATAATTTTCCCATTAATAAACTCCTCACAAGCTTGGGGGTATTTACTATTTAAATTCAACTAGACAGGATTTAACTTGTTAGTTGATATATTAAATTTATATTATTAAATGGGTAATTAGAATACTTAAACGTAAACTGCTTTGAGTCACTTAATTAATTGAATATTTCTACTAAAGAACAGATGTCAGTTTATCTGAACAAAAAGCGTAGTTGGCCTGGACGCCTCTCAGTCAGGTGAGCTTGACATCTGTCGACATATGGTTGTGGAGTCTCACAGGTGGTGAACTACACGTTAAATACTGCTACGTCGTACCTGTCAACACACCACATTGTGTATTGGACCAAAACCCTAGTTAAATTTAAGCAAGGATTATTATAACATGATATGTTAGATTTAATGTTTAAGATTTAGATTCAGAGACTCTCACTATTTATTTGGTGTTGTCTCGCGTCATTACCGATGATGATTTATACATATACACTGAGCTCATGTACAATAGATTTAACATCACCGGAAAGACACTTATCCTGGGAGACGATGTGTAGTAATGTGGGTATCTAACACCCGCAAAACAACGTTAACGTTTACTGTTTGCAAGCTAGCAACCAAACACGGCTTCTCTTGTTCGATTCAAGATGGCCAGTCTCTCCTCCTCAGGCAGGACGCTCATCCCCAAATTTAATTTTATTGATTCCCGCAAGGAGGGTTTGTAGTTAGTTTATTTGAATACTTATAATTTTCTTTAATTTCTAGAATCATTTTGTATAAAAACTTCTTGCATCAGTCCTCAAACTGATGCTTTTAAAGTTACAATATGCAATCAGATTTTACTGAGAGATAATTTTAGGTGACGTGGCATTGCACTGTCATACATTTTTTTAAAGAAATTGTCACGTCCGCCATCTTTTGGGGGTAACTTTTATTTTAATTTTATTTATGATTTAATTAACAAAAGACAGCAGTAATATCTTAATCCATACTTTGTTAAAGATATTGTAGATGATGCACATTTGCATATATTAGTTATCTTTGAGATGATCAAGCTCCTGGAGCTCTGCTTTTTCCTGTATTGATCACGAGAAGCCATATTGCTCGACCCTTTTGCGCTTAACCACATTTTCCATTTTTAGTTTTACAAGGAGTTATCCTCTGTTGCCTCTTCTAACCCATTCCACTTTCTCTCTGAAGAAATACTTCCTTTTACTCAACCGATTCAACTACACTCCCAATTTCATCCTGCAGTCAGTGCTTTTGTTCACACCTCTGATTGTCAACCTGTCTTTGTTCGCCTCGTCTCTGATTATCTTAAGGGCTCTGATCAGCAGCTGGGTGAGGTTGAGTCAAATCAGTGGATGCCTCAGGAATCCTAGAGGATTCAGTTGAATCCCAGGTTGCATTACATTTGTATCATATCGTTGTTCAGTGGTTTACGGCGTGTGCTTGAGAATACTCATTATGCAGGCTCGAGTTCTCTTCATGGCTCTTACTGATTTTCTCATTGGTACATCACATTAATGTGAGTTCTTTGTGCAACATTCTTACTTTTTTTACAAACTACAATTTACAATATGAAATAGTTTGTTCTTCCATTTACTTATGTACATGTCACTATCCACTAAACTTTTAAAAAACGTGTTACATATTCTTTGATCTAAATGTTCACTTTATCCTGGAATGATATAGCATTATTAATGCAATACATTTCTCAACGTTGATTTATATCCAAATGTCTCGTTGCCCGCTAGCTACCATCTCTCAACCTTCACAGCACAGCCGCACAAAACTGGGATTCTTCTTTCATGACTAATATCATATTTTGCAACACTGCCGAGGCAAAAATCGTTCTTGCCTTGGCAAAAATCGTTACCAAGTACTAAAAGGCAGACAATAATAGTGGTCCTCTTACCTTGTAGTATATTGCTGACTCTATCAGCAATGTCACCCAATCCTTAAACTTGGAAAACATACTCTAACTTCTTTTCTTTTATCCTTGAAACAGAGGGCTCTAACCATATAACACACCTGCCCTACGTGCCCCAGCCCATACACTCCTCCACCATCCTAAGCTCTCCCTTCTCCCCCACCCCCCTATCCCCTCCCTTCTCCCCCCCCCTAAGTCCTCCCTTCTCCCCCCCCAAGCCTTCTTTCCTCCACCTCTCCCCCAAGCCCTTCTTTCTCCCCTACCCCCCAAGCCCTCGTTTCTCCCCCACACCCCCATGCCCTCCCTCCCCCCTTTCCCCCCAAACCTCCTCTTCTCCCCATCCCCCCAAGCCCTCTCTTCTCCACCACCCCTCCAAGCTCTCACTTCGCCCCTACCTTCTCCAAACCAGATCCTCCCAGCCTTCCTACAACCCAGGTCCCCCTCACCCTCAGCTCCCCCTCACGACCCAGGAGCTCCCCTTCCCCTCCCCATCCCAGACTCTCCATGTTTACCTACTCCAGTGGAAGCAACAGAAACTGTGGATGGACAGAAAAGAGTCAGCTTCAAGGTGATATACATGAACATAGATGGGATTACAAGCAAGGTGTGTGAATTTAGGGAAAGAGCACAAGAGGCGAACCCAGATGTAATCGGACTCACAGAAACAAAACTCTCAGAATCATAACAAATGCGGTGTTTCCCCAGGATTACACTATAATAAGAAAAGATAGGTAGGGTAGGGGAGGAGGCGGAGTGGCCCTACTGATGAGAAAGGAATGGAGTTTCAAGGAGATGGTTATCCCAGGCTGTGAAGGGTTTAGAGACTACATAACAGGCACCATGACGATGGGAGGACCTAGAGTAGTAGTAGCTGTGATATATAACCCTCCACCAAATGACAGAAGACCAAGTCAAGAGTATGACTGAAACAACATGGCAGTTAATAACATAATTGAGAGGGAAGCCTCTGCTGCCTGTAGAAATCGATCCTATAGTGGGGGATTTTAATCACAGAAGGATAGACTGGGAGAACAAGGAACCGCACGGAGGAGAGGATACATGGAAAGCCAAAATAGTGGGGGTGGCGACAAGAAACCTTCTAATTTAACATGTCAGGGAACCCACTAGGATGACGGGCAACGATGAACCAGCAAGACTCGACCTAGTCTTCACCCTGAATGACTCCGACATAAGGGAAATTGACTTCGAGGCCCGAGTAAAAATGAGCGATCGCAGTGTACTGACGTTTGAGTATCTGGTCGAAGAAGGGCTAAAATATTCGAGAAAGGGTATTGAAAGCAACAGGCTAGCATTTCGTAAGCGAAATTATGAGAAGATAAGAAAATTCCTAACGGATGTAACATGAGAATCAGAGCTAAGGGGAAAAAAGGCCCACGACATGATGGAATACATCACGCAGAAGTGCAAGGAGGCAGCAGAAAAGTTTATCCCAGAACAAAAGGTAAAAACTGAAATGCAGATGAAAAACCCATGGTTTAATCAGAGATGAAAGCTAGCTAAACAACAAAGTAAAAGAGCATGGAAAATCTACAGAAATACAGGACACTTGAGAGCAGAGAAGGTTACCAGAGAGCCAGGAATGTCAGGGTGAGAAGAGAGGCAGAAGGGCAATATGAAAACGACATAGCAAGCAAGGCAACCCAACCGAAATTGCTGCACAGCTACATCAGGAGAAAGACGACAGTGAAGGAACAGGTAATGAAACTGAGGATAGGGCAGACAGATTCACTACAAATGACAAAGAAGTGTGCGAGGAACTCAAAATGAAATTCCAGGAAGACTTCACATTAGAGCAAGGACAAGTTCCAGAGATAAGAGAAGGAATAATTAACCAGGCACCACTAGAGGTATTTGAGATTACCAGTGGAGATGTAAGGAAGCTTTTGCTAGAGTTGGATGTGACAAAGGCTATAGGCCCGGATGGAATATCACCATGGACACTAACGGAAGGAACAGAAGCACTGTGCCTGCACTCCATGGTGTATTACAAATCACTGGTAACAGGTGAACTGCCAGAAATTTGGAAGGCGGCAAACGTAGCCCCGATATACAAGAAGGGGGATAGATATCGTGAAGGAAAGCTAACTCTCAATATAATGATAATTAATTGATTGAATTTAATTACAGGAAGGACCACCCTATTTTTACTGAAAAAGGAAACAGATAAATAATGCAATAAAAAGGACTGAGAAACCAGTGACTATGGATAATGTAAGCATCAAAAATTATTTGTTGAATATTAATGGACTGTAAGAATAATTATTATTCAAGAGTTAAACCTTCCCAAACTTCACAATTGGGGGTTAATACTAGAAGCTGAATTACTCCTAGTACACTTAATCGAGGCTGGTTCTTCCTCGAAAGATTTACTAAGAAATATAATTTGTATAAGTATTCAATAATTTGGTTAATAGTAAGAGCATATTATAGTAAATGTTGGACAAGAAAATTGTTTCTATCTAAAGTTCATGAGGCTATAAGAAATATGATTAAATTCCTAGCTCACGTAAATAAAATATAAATTCGAGATATTATTAAACCTCAACAATTCATAAGATGAATTGTTGAGATTTCAATTCATAACAAGAAATCAATAAATCAACGTAATATCAGATGCTTAGCTGTAACAATGAACGGGAGCGTTGATGGGTGACAGCGTCATCTAGAACCTGTTGGAACACGAGACTCGCTAGCATGGCGTGGTAATGTGTCTCACCTCAGGCTGCCTCAACACATGGCGTGGCAATGTGTCTCACCTCAGGCTGCCTCAACACATGGCGTGGTAATGTGTCTCACCTCAGGCTGCCTCAACACATGGCGTGGGAATGTGTCTCACCTCAGGCTGCCTCAACACATGGCGTGGGAATGTGTCTCACCTCAGGCTGCCTCAACACATGGCGTGGGAATGTGTCTCACCTCAGGCTGCCTCAACACATGGCGTGGCAATGTGTCTCACCTCAGGCTGCCTCAACACATGGCGTGGGAATGTGTCTCACCTCAGGCTGCCTCAACACATGGCGTGGGAATGTGTCTCACCTCAGGCTGCCTCAACACATGGCGTGGTAATGTGTCTCACCTCAGGCTGCCTCAACACATGGCGTGGCAATGTGTCTCACCTCAGGCTGCCTCAACACATGGCGTGGGAATGTGTCTCACCTCAGGCTGCCTCAACACATGCTGGAAACCCAATATGATGTAAGAATTGTTTACACACAGTAAATTATATCATTATGGATTATTGGAAGAGTCAAATTAAGTTCACTGGGAACGTACTGGTAGTTAGAGGAGGGAGCACGGTGTAACGATGGACTAAGGGTAAAGTTTACACGTTGAGAGCTCTGAACACTACAAACTGAACCACGTAACATAATTGTTGTCCACCGACGCAATCTTTAGATCGCTAATGGAGTAATCATGCACTTCGGGGCCGATTAATAGCAAGGGCCAATCACGTAGCTGACGAAAGCTTCACCTCTCTCTGTACTTATAGCTTTCACGTTGTCTCGTGGCCAAGGCTTGGGGCAACTCTCCATGCTCTCCTCCTCCTCCCTGAACCCCTCTCGCCGCGCATGCGCAACATATTTTAGTAGAAACGGAAAATTCTTTTCCTTGTAATTGGTGTACTTAGTTAATGAATGAGAATAGGGTTGCAATTATAGGGAGTTATATATATTTTTAATTCTCGTCAAATAATAATAAATATGAACAATGTTCTTATTAAACGAGAAATGGCGAGAATTTTCTGTTTCCTCCATATTAGTTTAAGAAGACAGATAAACGGTTATAGTGATCTTTTAGTTGATAACACGTTGTTATTAGATCACTAGTTGTTATATTATCAGGTATTAATTCCTGTGAAGAATACTGACAAATGGCGAGAATATTATTCAATTCTCTGGCATGTTGACAATATTTATACCTTGCTGGCTATTATCTGACACAATACTGTCCCTCTATGTGGGAATAATTTGATAAATAAATATTTCCTATCTGTGCATCAATTATGTTAATTTTACAAATTAGTAGGATTAGTATATACTATGCTTAGCATACAATGGTAATTAAATGTTGGTTTATTTCCAACAATAGACAGGAGGCCAGTGTCCCTAACTTGCATACCATGCAAGCTAATGTAGAAAATTGTGCGAAAAAAGCTAGTCGAATATCTGGAGCGAAGGAACTTTGTGTTACAACACCAACATGGCTTCAGGGAGTGCAAGTCATGCCTCACAGGATTAAATGAATTCTACGATCAGGCAACAAGAATCAGGCAAGAAAGAGACGGGTAGTGGGCAGACTGCTTATTTTTGGATTGCCAGAAAGCCTTTGACACAGTGCCACACCAGAGACTAGTGCAAAAGCTGGAGATGCAGGCAGGAGTGAAAGGGAAGGTACTCCATTGGATAAGGGAGTACCTAAGTAACAGAAGGCAGCGAGTCACTGCGCGGGGTGAGGTATCAGATTGGAGAGACGTCACCAGTGGGGTCCCGCAGGGCTCAGTCCTTGGACCCATACTGTTTCTTATATATATGAATGATCTTCTAGATTGTATAGAATCATTCCTCTTATTTGTTTGCTGATGCAAAAATTATGAGGAGGATTAAGACGGAGGAAGACAGTATGAGACTACAAGATGACCTAGAGAGACTGCATGAATGGTCCAACAAATGGCTACTAAAGTTCAACCCGAGTAAATGTAAGGTAATGAAACTAGGCAGTGGAAACAGGAGACCAGACACAGGATACAGACTGGGAAATGAAGTCCTTCATGAAATGGACAGAGAGAAAGATCTAGGAGTTGATATCACACAAAACCTGTCTCCTGAAGCCCACATCAAAAGAATAACATCTGCGGCGTATGCGAGGCTGGTTAACATTAGAACTGCCTTCAGGAACCTGTGTAAGGAATCATTCAGATCCTTGTATGCCACATATGCAAGACCAATCCTGGAGTATGCGGCCCTAGCATGGAGCCCGTACCTTGTCAAGCACAATGCAAAGCTTGAAAAAGTTCAGAGATATGCCACTAGGCTAGTCCCAGAACAGAACTAAGAGGCATGAGTTACGAAGAAAGGCTGCGAGAAATGCACCTCACGACACTAGAAGACAGAAGAGTAAGGGGAGACATGATCACTACCTACAAAATTTTCAGATGAATTGACAGGGTAGATAAAGATAAGCTGTTTAACACTGGTGGTTCGCGAACAAGGGGACACAGGTGGAAACTGAGTACCCAAATGAGCCACAGGGACGTTAGAAAAAACTTTTTCAGTGTCAGAGTAGTTAACAGATGGGCTGCATTAAGCAGTGATGTGATGGAGGCTGACTCTATACACAGTTTCAAATGTAGATATGATAGAGCCAAGTAGGCTCAGGAATCTGTACAAGAGTTGATTGAGAGCTGAGAGGCGGGACCAAAGAGCCAGAGCTCAATCCCCGCAAGCACAATTAGGTGAGTACATTGAAATCCTCAAAATCTTTAATCCCACTGATTTCCCACCTTCTTTGTTGCAGTGTCTAGCTTCCTATTTTCTGAGTCTGCATATATTCACCACCTGCAAGCTCGATACTTGAAGGACACGTCGAGTGTTACATTGTTGTTGGTGACTCTTGAAGATGTGAGGTACCTCTATTCGACGTCTCAATCACGGTTTCCATGATACTTAACTTGACGGTCTTCGCTGTAGGCCTAGTACCTCTTTTACCCCGTGGTTACTTCCTTGGCGGATGTCTTCATACCCTTCTTGCACTTCCTCACATCCTGCACTAAGTTCTTGCACTCCACGTGACATTTCACTTAACTTGTCTGCCATTTGACAGATAAGTGCTTCAGGCGAGGTCTTAACGTAGTACTCGAAAATAATCAACTAGGTTGAGTAATTTTGAAAGATTTATTCCCAAGACAAAAACACACATGCAGCGAGAGAAGCAAACAATCTGCTAAGAAGTATTATTTTGACATCCTTCGACTCCATTTCAAGTCTTATATCACTCTTACTTTCTCGAAATACTTCTTCAAGCCATTCCTCCTCTGTATGATAATGTATGTGTATACTCTCCTATGCAACACCCCTGTGCATCACCTCTGTGCAACATCAGCAAATGACAATAGTGTGATGGTGTACCGCCGTTGTCTGTACTGCAACAACGGGGAGGCCGACGTCCAGCGCGTCCTACAGAAGAGCTTCACCTCCCTTCCTCTTCCACTGGACCAGCTCTTCCAAGGTGAGGTGCGCCGAGTGGACAAAATAGTCATTTTTATTAGCATTATTTAATATAAAATATAAAACTAAAATAAACTAAAATAACTAAAGTTTAATTATTTAATTATAATTAAAAAATTAAGAATGTTACTTTTGAGTATAAAAACCTTTAATTGATTTCTGAGAAATTATCCTGAAAATTTATCTATTGAAAACTATATAAATTTCCAAAACAAATAAACTCTTAATGTACCCAAAATTTGCAGAAACCTTTCAAGACTTTATTGGTAAGAAGATGAGAATCATAACAGCATTCAGTTATTTTCCATACGTGGACTACAAGCGGGTCTGTAGCACCCTTGGGGCTCAATTCGAGTATATGGACTGTCTGGACTCACGACTCGTTAACACCTTGGCTTCCAAACTCAATTTCACGTAAGGATCCACTCTACATTATTAAATAAATTAATAAATAAATTAATGAAGAAATAAGAAAAATAAATAAATAAAGAACGAAAGAAAGAAATATTGAAAGAAAGAAATTAAGAATGCAATAAAGAAAGAAAGAAAGAATTGAATATATATGACTATTTCATTCATTCGGAAGCTCACCACACTCATATGGACGATCCGAACAGTCATATGGGGTGTGAGAAGTCAGTGCAATATGTGAGTAATTACAGGAAATGTACAAGATTATGCATCAAAAGTGTTGGAATGCGTTACTATAACGTGACACTAGAACTCTTCCACTCACACGACTTGACAAATGGTCCAGGACGGACCCAAAGTCGTCGTTTTTCCATCTTTCAATATGTGGTTTAGTGGTATATATATATTATATATATATATATATATATATATATATATATATATATATATATATATATATATATATATATATATATATATATATATATATATATATATATGTATGTATGCCGTACCTAGTAGCCAGAACGCACTTCTCAGTCTACTATGCAAGGCCCGATTTGCCTAATAAACCAAGTTTTCCTGAATTAATATATTTTCTCTAATTCTTTTCTTATGAAATGATAAAGCTACCTATTTCATTATGTATGAGGTATTTTTTTTTATTGGAGTTAAAATTAACCTAACCGAACCTAACCAACCCTACCTAACCTAACCTAACCTATCTTTATAGGTTAGGTTAGGTTAGGTAGGTTAGGTAGTCGAAAAAACATTAATTGAAGAAAACTTGGGTTATTAGGCAAATCGAGCCTTGCATAGTAGGCTGAGAAATGCGTTCTGGCTACATATATATGTCGTACCTAGTAGCCAGAACGCACTTCTCAGCCTACTATGCAAGGCCCAATTTGCCTAATAAGCCAAGTTTTCCTGAATTAATATATTTTCTCTATTTTTTTTCTTATGAAATGATAAAGCTACCCATTTCATTATGTATGAGGTCAATTTTTTTTATTGGAGTTAAAATTAACGTAGATATATGACCGAACCTAACCAACCCTACCTAACCTAACCTAACCTATCTTTATAGGTTAGGTTAGGTTAGGTAGCCGAGAAAGGTAGGTTAGGTTAGGTTAGGTAGGTTAGGTAGTCGAAAAACAATTAATTCATGAAAACTTGGCTTATTAGGCAAATCGGGCCTTGCATAGTAGGCTGAGAAGTGAGTTCTGGCTACTAGGTACGACATATATATATATATATATATATATATATATATATATATATATATATATGTCGTACCTAGTAGCCAGAACTCACTTCTCAGCCTACTATTCAAGGCCCGATTTGCCTAATAAGCCAAGTTTTCCTGAATTAATATATTTTTTCTAATTTTTTCTTATGAAATGATAAAGCAACCCTTTTCTCTATGTATGAGGTCAATTTTATTTTATTGGAGTTAAAATTAACGTAGATATATGACCGAACCTAACCAACCCTACCTAACCTAACCTAACCTATATTTATAGGTAAGGTTAGGTTAGGTAGCCAAAAAAAGCTAGGTTAGGTTAGGTTAGGTAGGTTAGGTAGACGAAAAAAACATTAATTCATGAAAACTTGGCTTATTAGGCAAATCGGGCCTTGAATAGTAGGCTGAGTAGTGCGTTCTGGCTATTAGGTACGACATATATATATATATATATATATATATATATATATATATATATATATATATATATACGATATATATGTATATATATATATATATATATATTATATATATATTTATATATATATATATATATATATATATATATATATATATATATATATATATTTATATATATATATATATATATATATATATATATATATATATATATATATATATATATATATATATATATATATATATATATATATATATATATATACATATTATTAAATATGACCGAAAAAGTAAGATTAATAATTCTAACACGAATTTTCTCAATCTTTCGTACATTACGCTTCACTGTTGGAGGTAAATCAAAAATCACTTCTCCAAAATTCATTATTTCTAGTCTGACGCGACACGGGCGCGTTTCGTAAAACTTATTACATTTTCAAAGACTTCACAAATACACAACTGATTAGAACTTACGTCTCTCTGATATTATATCTACATTTGAGTGAGGTGGGAAGGGTGATGTGGCATTAACACAAGACAGAACAGGAGGGGATATTAATAGGGTATTAAAAGTATCAACACAAGACAGAACAGAAACAATGGGTATTGAATAGAAGTGTTTGTAGAAAGCCTATTGGTCCATATTTCTTGATGCTTCTATATTGGAGCGGAGTCTTGAGGTGGGTAGAATATAGTTGTGCAATAATTGGCTGTTGATTGCTGGTGTTGACTTCTTGATGTGTAGTGCCTCGCAAACGTCAAGCCGCCTGCTATCGCTGTATCTATTCTAACACAAAATTCGTGTTAGAATTATTAATCTTACTTTTTCGGTCATATTTAATAATATATGTCTACAGGAAAGTCTGCTACCAAAATATACTAATATATATATATATATATATATATATATATATATATATATATATATATATATATATATATATATATATATATACCTGCAACATACCTGCAGTATATGGCCGGTTTCAAGTTCATGTCGACTAAGACTTTCTGCTCGATGGTACCCATGTAGAAGTTTGCAAACAGGACACCTAGGGGAGAACCCATGGCGACCCCATCTACTTGCTTATACATGTGCCCAACCGGGCTCAAGAAGGGTGCCTCTTTAGTACAAGCTTGGAGTAGTTTCCTTAGAATATTTTCGGGTATGTCAAGAGGAGTACAGGCTGGATCACGATACACTCTGTCGGCTATCATCCCGATTGTCTCGTCCACAGGTACGTTGGTAAACAGCGATTCTACGTCCAACGAGGCTCTTATCCCTGTGGCCCGTGTGCCCCGCAGTAAGTCAACAAATTCCTTTGGAGACTTCAGGCTGAAGGCGCAAGGAACATAAGGAGTCAGCAGGCCATGAGTCGCTTCGCCAGTCTGTACGTGGGTGTGGGTATCTGGCTAATGATTGGCCGAAGTGGGTTTCCAGGCTTGTGTGTCTTGACATTTCCATACGCATATCCAGGTTTATATTCCCCAATGATCTTTGGCAGGTGGAGTTCGGATTTCTTGGCGTTCACAGTTTCGATCAGTTTGTTGACCTTTGCTTTCAACTCGGCTGTAGTGTCCTTCGTTACCCTTTGGAACTTAGTTTGGTCAGAGAGTATGAGGTTCATTTTCGCCAGATATTCGTCTTTTTTTTAAGAATGACATATATTGGCGACTTGTCACCTCTCCTGACAACTATCTCCTTGTTCTCACGAAGGCTTTTAGCTGCCGCTTTGAACTCGGGGGACAGTATGGTGCTTCTGTAATTGCCTCGATTCTTTCCTCCTTCTGCAATAAGTTCTGCTTGTAAGGTATCTTTGGTAGTGACCTTCTTTTGTGTCTCGAGGTCGAATATGTTGTCCAACAGAATTTCCAACTCTACTTTCCGGGCCATCTCACTCGGTCTGGACATAACGTGACAGTTTATGCCCAGATTTAGGAGAGTGACTTGGTCCTCAGTGAGGTTAATTCCTGCAAGGTTCAGGAAGCCATCTCTTGGTCGTGGAATTGCCATAGGTCCTCCATATAATGTTGAAAGTTTCTTGATAATCCTTGTTTCAGTGCTGAGGTGATGTCGGTCTGTGAGGATGTCGAGGTGTTGTTCAATGCGGGTACGGATACTTTCGTCGATGTTGCTATTTCTCCACTCGTTTGTAGCATGAAGTAGTTGCGTTTTGTTGTCTTTGATTTCATTCTCTGCCTTGTATATCTGATCACGAATCAGATCCGGGCGATATTTTATCGTGAAGGCTTGATTCCTTGCTGCTGGGTCGTGCGCTTTAATATCTGCAGGTATGTTGACGACATTTTTACACAGGTACCTGATGTCAGACATCTGCAGGAGCTGAAGGAGGCATTTGAGCAGAGTTCCGTGCTGCGTTTCACTTACGAGATTTAAAAGGATGGGAAGCTGCCCTTTCTAGATGTAACAGTCATGGAAAAGAGCGGAGGTTTCCACACTGCAGTCTACACTAAGGAAACGAACATAGGAATGTGCCTAAATGCCAACAGCGACTGCCCAGACAGGTACAAGAGGAGTGTTGTTAACGCATATGTCGACCATGCTCTCAGCCACAGCTCAGAATGGAAGCAAGTCGACGAAGAACTCTGTAGGGTAAGGCAGGTCCTAGTCATCAACGGCTTCTCCAATGGTTTCGTCGAAGACATCATAAGAAGGAAAGTGAAACGCCATATATAAGTTTTAAAGTTTTAAATAAGTTTTAAAGAAATATAAGTTTTAGTATTTTTAACCTTACTATTTTTCTAATAAAACTAATTATAATATATTTTTAATATAATGCTAATGTGATAGCCGAGTCATAAATATGATTTCAGTTGACACGTGTTTGATAATCGTCTTTGACCATTTTGGACTAATTTTGACACCTACTTCAATATTTTTTTTCTCCACTCCTATTTATGCTACGATGCTGCGACTTGGACCAGATGAAACCCTTTTCATATACAACTAGTCAAAAAAGTTTCATTGAAATCGAACTAGTTTTCATTTAATGCATTTTTTCCTGCCTCCATAAAGGAGGAAATAAGACAGAGGCAAAAAATTACAGACCGATAGCACTAACATCGCACATCATAAAAAATTTTGATAAGTGTGCTAAGAAGTAAGATCACAAAATACATGGAATCACAGCATCTCCATAACCCCGGACAACATGATTTCAGAACAGGGCACTCTTGCCTGTCACAGTTGCTGGACCACTATGACATGGCATTAGATGCCATGGAAGACAGACAAAACGCTGATGTAATTTACACAGATTTCACAAAAGCCTTTGACAAATGTGACCATGACATTATTGCACATAAAATGCATTCAAAA